TTATTTTGATATATCACAGTGAAAGATTTATCGTCCTCTTTTTTTTTTTTTTTTAAAAAAAAAAAAAAAAAAAAAAAAAAAAAAAAAAAAAACTAGAAGTAATCTTTTTTATTAGCATTCTATTAATGAATACCACACTGGTTATTCAAGTCTCTACCCACTTAGCACATCTCAGACATTCCACTTTGATTCCATAGACACATATCTACTCACATAGAAAGCCCAAGTTACTTCTCTGGAAGCCCTGCTTGGTTTGAACAATGAGTTACTGTTTATGTTTCCAGGTCCAGGAAGCCAAGTTGACTGAAGTGAAAATCAACGAGGCCCGAGAACACTATCGACCAGCAGCTGCCCGAGCCTCTCTGCTCTACTTCATCATGAATGACCTCAGCAAGATACACCCAATGTACCAGTTCTCCCTCAAGGTAACTTTCCCCTGGAGCTTTTCCCACAATCATGATAAAACAATGTAACACTACCAATCCAATCCATCATAAGAGCCTGTCCACATGATCATTAGTGATGGCATATTGTCAAGATCAAAGCCAGCAGAGTAGCTACATTAGCTGTAGACCTCTGTTGTAGTCCCCATCTCTTTGACTCAATCTTATACAACTCATTGTAAAAAAGAGAATGCTACTGCAAATCTCGGCTTCATTCGCTCAGTAAGTACATCCAATTTGTTACTATGCCTATTGGATGATGCATGGAAAAGGATAGGATATCAAAGAAATACAATTTTTCCCCCAAAAGGCATAAAATGTAATGGAGATGATACAATATGTGTATTGTTCATATTGATGAAAGACAGTTCTGGCAATTATGATAGGCCAATTTTAAATTACTTTGCTTATTATCCTAATAGTCCCAAAGCTACTACTTATGGTTCTTAAAATATCCCTAAAACCAAAGAGTTGTTAGCAAATTGTAACTGCAGATTCATCTTACTCATGGGGAAAAAAAGGACCTAATATTTTTTGGTGAATCCCTGAAAATGCATCTTACCCACTAGTGCATCCATCAAAAAATGATAATTAAAGAGGCATTAAGAAGTAGTAGAGAATTTCTGAACAACCTCATTGGTTTGGACCAACCAACAAGCAAAAAGATGTGCACAGATTCAAATAGATAGGAGAGAAAGCATATAAACACAGAAATGTCCCATACATACTTGCATGCATACACACACATCACCACCTCAATTTCATGAAATACTTCCAGCCAAATCGACACGTGGAGGTCAAGGTATAAGGTTGGTGATGAACGGCTGAGAAATCTTCAGGCCTCTAATCCCTGAGAATGTGACCATTCCCCAGTCTATCTCTTATAACTCAGTGTCCGTAAATTGGATGAACTGTATTCATAGTATTTTATGGTTTTAAAAATAAACATGTATATTCAGATCATAGGGAAATATGAAAGAATTACAGGATATTAAAAAGCCAGTATAAAAGTGAATGTAAAGTGATGACAGCATCACCTCCCTAGTTCTAAGAGTAATTGGAACTCACTATATCTTTCAGAAGCCTGCCACAGTGGCTCTCTGAAAGCAAGAAATCAGAAGAAACCCATAAATATGTGTTCAGAAATATGTTGTAAGTTGTTTTGCAGCAGGAGTATTCTGATAGAAGAAGCTCTGGAGTATTATTTTTAAAAAGGAAAAAGTCGCCTGGCATAATGGCATACCTGTAAAACCAGTCCTGGGAGGCTGAGGCAGGAGAATCATGGATTCAAGACAAATTTAGGTTACTATATTAGTTACTTTCCTCTTGTGATAAAGTACCATGATAAAAGCAATTTGGGGAAGAAAGAGTTTATTTTGGCTTATAGTTCCAGAGGGAGAGTCCATTATGGCTGAGAAGGCCTGGCACTAGGCAGGGAAGGCATGGTGGTAGGGGCAGGAAGTTGACTGGGGACATTTTCATCCACATACAGGAAACAGAGAGAGAGAACAAGGAGTGGGGCAAGGCTATGGAAAGAGCAGGAAGTGAAACAAGATTATAAAGCTATCAACCCTCAAAGTCTGGGCCCAGTAGCATACTTCTTCCAGGAATGCTCAGCCTTCTAAAGGTTCCATAACCTTCCCAAACTGCACCATTACCTGGGACCAAGTGTCAGATCACTCCGACAAGTATGGCACAAGGGGAGAGGCCAGGACCAGCCTGGGTCCCTCTCTTAGGGGCTGAACAGGATGGTGAGTGTTGGCTACTCAAACACCATACTGAGTCGGGAGTCTTGTTGAGGCAGGAACTCACTTTATTGCGTCAGGCATCAACTTATATAGTTTAAGCAAAAGGGGTGTGGAAAAGGGGGTGGGTATAGGAATGTGTCATCTGGGGTGAAGACTGTGGGCCACTGAGAATTTATCACGCCAGTTGTTACTGGGCAGAGGCAATCTTAAATAAGGCTCTGCTGAGTCACCTCCACGTGGAAGTGACAGGCCAGAGACAGGTCACTAAACTTTAGCCTGGCTTAGGAAATTATATTAGGCCTCATTTTCCTCCATGCCGTGTGTATGAGGGTCCCAAAGGCCCAACATATTCCCCCTTTTATTTTTGTTGTGAGGGTGGAGAAACATAACCCCTGTCTTAGGTTGTCTCCCTTTTGGAGATCTTACCCGTCGTTGGGCATCACAAATCTTAGTTGCTGCAGCACCTCTCCATGTCCTGTCTTAGGCCCTGTCACCTCTGACCAAGCCTTGCCCATCATTGGATCATGCACCTGGCCATGTGCATGTCCTGTCTCAGGAGTACTTGTCATGGCACATCTTACCCATCATTGGCCATATGGAGGGCAGGGGTCAGGCAATCATACGAGGATGGCCAATCGTAAGAGCCTGGCTCCTGATTAGCGAGCCTGTGATAATGAACCTCGACCTGATGTAACTTGATTGCCTCTATTTTCTGGTGAACAAATCTCGTAAATTTGTTAAATATCCAGGGCCCGACAGTAAGGATAAGGAGAAGTGTGAGGAGGGGGCCAAGTAGGGGGAGGAGGTAGGGCAAGAGACGATGTAAGCCGGTCCAGGGGGAGTTTTCTTGAAACTCTCACCTCCTCTTTTATAAATCTTCTTGGAATTTTTTAATCTTATCCTGGACAATCCCGGGTCTATTGGCATAAAAGCAGCATTTTTCCTGTAAAAATAAACAGATGCCTCCTCTTTCAGCTTTTAGCAGATTTAATTTCCTTTTATTCTGTAACATCACCTCAGCCTGTGGAAGAGCTCCAGTAACCGGCCAGATCTTGATTTATGTAGGTCGGTGTCCTGCCTTGGGTTAGGCTGGTGTCTCTAGGGGAGAAGTGGGCAGGCAATCATATTGAACTCTTAACGTCATCAATTGTATTTGTTTTATTTTTCCTTTTATGAGATTTATAATCCTATTAACTGCACAGGGTCTATAGTGCAGTGAAGTATAAGGATTATGAGAGGTCCCACCAGAGTGGAAATAAGGGTAGTGAGCCATGGTGAGGCAGTGAACCACTGTTGGTACCAGGACTCCTGTTCTCGCTGACGCCTGTTTAACTCCTCTCTTAATTTGTCAAGATTATCCATAACCACTCCTGAATTATCAGCATAGAAACAGCATTCTTCTCCTAGGGCTTTGCATACACCACCTTGCTGGAGGAACAGGAGATCGAGCCCCCTCCTATTTTGTAAAATTACTTGGGCTAGAGAGGAAAGTGACTCCTGGAGATACCTAACGGCTGTCTCAGCTTTATCTAGGCTAGCATCCATATCTGCCCTGATCTGTTGGAGGCCTTTTTGTGCCATAATTAAGGATGTAGCTCCAAGGGCCATCCCCCCAGCTCCAAGGCCCACAAGTGTGGAAACCACAACCGTGGAAAGCAACTCTCTCTTTTGTATATGTCTCTCTCGGCCCTGCATCTCCTCAGCAGAATGATAAATGACATAAGGGAAGAGGAAGACCAGGGCGCATACGCCCCCCTCCGATTGTCGCAACACTGCAAGAGAAAGGCAAGGTGTCAAACCCGAATTTTGGCACAGCCAATAATATGAAGGCTCAGTAGGGACTATCCGGTTACCCCCTGTTGAAGTAATGTTTTGACAGCGCCTCCAGGAATGTCCACCAGGGTGCTCATGGGTAACACAGGTCATATTTTTGTCATGTTTTAGAGGCAGGGTGAGCCCGCCATTTTTTGTGCTGATCCCGCCCCGTCAGCATTGATCACTGTGAGTAGTGTTCATGAAGTTTCCCATTGTCCCCAGGGCCATTTTTGGAGAGCTGGCATCTAGGCACAGCCAGCACGGGTCAACAAGTTCAGGTCTAGAGGCATTGAGAAAAGTATAAGCAAGCTGCACTGCCCAACAAATGTCCTCATGCTTGGTCCCACTTAAGCCCGGGCCAGGGTTACCAGGCACAGATGCTTCTGACGCCAGGGTATTACTGGCAGGCATCAGGCTAGTAGCAACATGTGTAGGGGTGGTGGGCCTTGGCAGTGGAAACCAGGCTGGACCCACAATCTCCTGGTAAGGCAAGCGTTCGACAACCCTCCTGATCATTAATAGGAGGCCAGGGTCATATCCTGAGACATAGAGTCTTAACCCAAACATCTTTCCAGCTTCCCATCCTCCTTCCTTTCTTCCCTGTTCTGTAAAGCTGATCTGTATGGGGTTACAACGATAATTTGCACATCGCCCATATAATGGGTTTGTAGACAGTTGTTGTTGCTTGACCTTACTAACTCGGATGGGTCCTTTACCCTCAATCCAGTACCCTGTCTCCGTGCTCTCACAGCCCCAGCTTGTACAGTAAAAGTCATCGCCCCCCGCAAGTATGCAATTGCGATGCAGTTCTGTTGGACCCGGGACAGACATAAAACGTTGTCAACAGCAATGTATGTATTTTAAGGACATGCGAGCAGCCAGGAGAGTTAGGGGATCCCACGAGTGGCAGGGTGCATCCCTTCCCGCTGTCTCCACATTCCGGCCTGGTTTTCCCTTGGCCTACTCGTCCACTCACGTCCCACGATCCAGTGGCAAGATTGCAGAGATCAAATTGTAGGTCTGGCCACCACGTAGAAGGGGGCGGTTATCTGAGTAGTTTTATTGATGGCATCTGATGTGGCCACATTGATCACCAATCAGGTGACCTTCTGAGGTTGATGTGGATTGTTTAACCCATAGGCTTGACTCCTCATTTGTAGACAGTTTAGGGTGAAGGCCAGCATCAGGAGGATTTTGCACTCCATTTTCTCAGAGAGAGAGAGGGGGGAGAGAGAGAGAGAGAGAGAGAGAGAGAGAGAGAGAGAGACCTTCTCAAGGGTGTTTATCC